CGACTTTGTTTTTCCAGGGAGATCTGAGAAGACACTGCCTACATAAAAAGTGACAGGTCAGCCGCGGGGGAGGAGCAGGTAGAGATGAAGGGTTTGGGAAGTTCCCTCGCACACAGAATCCTGTAAGCGTGTCACAGTGACAATGCCAACTGGACACGGGTGGTGGTTGCGGCACAGCACAGGCGAACACCAAGCCCCACCCACTGCAAGTTCACGTACATCACAGTAACAACACCCCCGTTAGACCCATATGATTGCTTGGGGTTCCCGGCCGGCTCAGTCGGTGGAGTGTGCGACTCGATCTCAGGGTCATGAGTTCAGGCCCATGTTGGATGAGGAGACTACTGAAAATAAAAATAAAAATATAAATTGCCCCCAAATAAAATGCTGCAAGGCTGAAAGACAGATTCTAGAACGTGGGCAGGAGGGGACACAAAGGGATGGAGAGCAGAAGAGAACCATTCAGAGAAGACAAGGAACAGCCTGAGCAATCTGACCGCAGTCTCAAAAATAAAACTCCCTCAAAACAAGAGTGGAGGAAATCCGAGGAGAACGTTTCCAAGCTGTAAGCAGACGCAGTGCTCCCTCGGGGAGGGCCACAGGGCTGCAGACCGTGAGGGCAAGGGAACTCTGGTCCCTGGCTTCTGGAGTCCCCAGCACACACGCTGTGCAGGGTGTGTCCACGGCACCAAGTCTGGGGGTCAGGTGAGGTCACAGCACAGAGTGTGGCTCCTTTCCCTCCCCCACCACGTGGATGCCATAATTCCTCTCCCGGTGACGTAAGTCCACCTCCTGGCGTACAAGGATGAAAGGTATTAACCACATGAACTCACTCAGCATGTGCCTGAGTGAGGGTCTGTCGCTGGCATCGCCACTCTCCAGGAAGTCCATGGCCGCTGCCTTGCAGTCCTCCCAAAGGTGCCCCATGTGTCGTCCCCCCCACCCCCACCCCCGTCCCCACTCCTGGACCTCCCTGCAAACCACTGCCAAGCCTTCTGGCCATCCACTCAGACTGGATCCTCCCTCCCCGCCACCATGCAAAGCTGTCCAGAGGTCCTATGTCATACATGTGACCTTCCCTGAGCAGCCAAGGGGAAGGTGGGGATTTACAGGGCCCTTCCTTCCCAGCAGATGGCCCAGGACCCTCCCTCCACATCAACTCAAACGAAACACCCATTTCCGGATCACAGGCCACAGACGCATTTCTACACTGGGTGGTCGGTCAGCTTGCCCTCCTGGGGGGCTGTGCTGTCTAAAGCAGGAAAAGCAGGGGCCGCAGGTTTGGACCCCACCCCGTGCAAGCCACTGGTGGGCACTCCGCCCCGCCTGGGTGGCAGGAGGGGTCAGCTGTCTCCTGGCTCACCTCTCTCTCTCTCACTCCCACCTCGTTTTACCTCCAGGACTACCGTCCACCTTGCTCCCCGTGGCTGTCCCTGGTCACTCCCCAGTGCCCATTCCCACCTCCCTGGAGGACGTCAGCTTGTGCTTCACGGTCTCCCTCATAACCTCTTCTGATTGCTAGGGTAACTTGGACATCTACGCTGGTGAACCAGAAGACACACCCCAACCGCGGACTCCCCTGTCCTCTTTCAGTGGACATGTGGCTGCTTGAAATAAAGCTATTTCCCCATCTCCCTTGGAGCAAGGCATGGGCACGTGACCAAGGGCCAGTTGGATATAAGCAGGAGCACTGGGTGCAAATTTGGGAAGTGCCTGAAGAGGAGCTACATCCTTCTCCATCCTGCTTTCACACCGGGTGGAGTGAACTTGATTGACGGTGAGAGCCGGGCAGCCGATGTGGGCTGCATACTGAGGATCCTGAAACAACGAGAGAGTAGCCTGGCCCCCGATACCACACATTACCATGTGCTCCCCGAGCTGCCCGTTTGTGGGAGACCAGTCACCCATCTTGTTTAAATCGCCACTGTTACATACAGCCGAACCCGGTCCTGTGCTCAGGTCAGTAACCAGCAGAGCCAGGATCTGCCAGCCTTACTTGGGAGCGCACAGGACATGCAGGGCAGTGGGGTTTGTACATCCCGAGGTCCTCACAGAGGGGACGCAGCACGGGGACCACAGTCATGAGCTCCAGGCAGCAACAAGGAGCAGGGGAGCAGGTGAGGAGAAAGGAAGTGAAGGGAGCCGGAGGGACGTGGAGGAGGGGAAGCCGGCCCCCAGGTCAATCCCCAGGGCTAGTCTTGCATCCAGGGGACAACATGTTCATTCCTACAGCAATTCCACACCAGTGCAGTTTTCTAGCTGTAAACTATGTCGGGAGAGCCAGTGTAAGCCGACTGACGCACTGTCTGCCTCCAGGATCCCAGGAACCGACACGCTCAGGAGGAGCTCCATCTTCTCTTTTCCCCAGTGAATTTCTCTGCTTCACCCACTTGGTGAGGTGTTGGCTTGGGAGAGCGCACGTACTCGTGGGACAGAACGTATGTACCTGGGACAGGAGCCCACGAGCTGCTCCACCTGCCCAGGGAAACCTGGCGGATGTCTGGATGGCTCTACAAGATGGCACAGGAAGGAGAGACCATTCAATAAAGAGGGCTACAGATATAGACAAATGAAACTGGGTCCCCCACCAAATACAATACATACAAATAAGTTTCAGATGTACAAAAATTCCTTATAGGAAAATTAAAATTTTTCCAAAGATTTATTTATGCATTTTAGAGAGGGGGAGGGGCAGAGGGAAAGAGAGAATCTCAAGCAGCCTCCCCACTAAGCACAGAGCCCATCGCGGGGGCTCGATCTCACGACCCTGAGATCATGACCTGAGTTGAAAACAAGAGTCAGATGCTTAACCAACTGAGCCACCCAGGCGCCCTGAAAACTAAAATTTAGGTTTTTAGAAAAACTCAAGGGTAGGGAAGGATCTCTTAAAGAAGCCTCAAAGGCCACCAAAGGTAAAAGACGGACACGCATAACATTTAACATAGTAACATTTAAACATGACTTCGGCACAGAGGAAGACTGCTAGGGAGACAAGCCACCACCCGGGGATCATGTTTGAAATGCATGTCACTGACCAAACATTAGCATTTCTCCAGAACATATAATGTTAACAGACGTAAACACCCATAAGTAAAAGGCAAGTCGCCCAAATGGAAAGTGGGTGAAGGATATGAACAGAGAAGGAAATCCGCACAGCCAGAACACAGACGAGGTGCTCAAGCTCAGTGCAGACTCAAACTTCGGGACAGAACACCCACCCAATCAGCAAAAATGAAAAATCTGAAGATGCCAAGTGCAGGTCGAGTGGGGGAGCAGGGGGGCTGTCAGAGGACAAAGGGCCCCACGAGCTTGGGGAGCAAGCAGGAACATGCCCTCAGCGAGGGGACTGTGCACACTCGCCCGGATGCCCAAAACAGCTCTCCCTGTGGTCTGGTTCTAACACAGAAACCTTGCAAATCCACGACGTCCATCAACAGCGTAACAGGTACACAGTGGATGTCACACGATGGAGCATTAAAACAGTTTAGATAACTGAACCAGAACTTCATTTACGTCCATGAACGTCAATATGAAAATTTCAGAAGTCGTCAAGTGGGTACAGTGTGGTATCATTTCTATAAAGTGTAAAGAACGTACCGGCACACAGAGCTAACCTGAATGTGGAGGGACAGGTATGAGTTGCTTTCAGGACAGCGGAAGGGGGGGTAGATGGCCCTGGGGCTGCAAATGGGACCTCAGGATTATAAGGTTTTATTTCTAAAAACAAATCCAGAGCAAAAATGGAAAAAACACTAAGACTAGTTGGTTAGTGACATGGCGGCGGTGGGGGGGGGGGGTGGCATGTGCAGCCCGTTCTCTGATCCTTCCAGCAGCATATCTGAATCACCTTTCTGTCCTCCTACCCCTGCCCCACACTCTGTGTTGGGGTCCCAGGCTCCCAGCTCCCGGGCCGGCTTCCCCAGGCTGGGTCTCCTCAAGTAGCTGTTTCCCCTGCAATGGCTCGCACCCTGGGGCCTGCTCACATTCATCTGTTTTCCCGTCTTTGGCCTTCTTCGTGGGCCTCCTTCCCTGTCGGTCACTTGGACGCAAGGCCCGCCACCCTCTGCTTGTACCCCTAAATGTGGTTTGCGCCCCCAGCACCCTGGCCAGCCCTTTCACAAAGACCTCTCCACACCTAACAAATCAGAACTTATTAAAGCTCATCTTTGGGACCCCGCCCCCCACAACTACTGTTTGGATTGCCAAATTGAACAAGCTAATCCCAGGTCTTCCTCCCCTTTACCACCGGGGACCAGCCCTCGTCTTCTGAGACTCCAACTTGCTGTCGGCTTTCTGGGCTGTGATGCCGCCACCCTGGGCTCTGACCGTGAGTCAGTCAGCAGCGGGGGGTGGCCGGATTCCACCCCCACCTGTCTGCATCTGGTCTCCGGGTTCCCACATCCCCTCTGCACTTCTACAAACAGTCCAGGGAATGGCAAGCTACATCAAACATCAGAACGCTTTGTCTCTCATGATAAATCGGCAACTGCTCAGCACTCACGTTCTTTCAGGAACGAGGATGTGGGGCTACCAGTCAGAACTGCAAGGCCCTGCATTGGCTCAGCAGCCGACCAGCCACCCTGCACTGCACCACCAGCGGCCACCGGCACTGCCTCGAGCACCCGAGCCCCGGACAGCAGCATTGCTGAGATTCTCTCCATGGCCTGGGCCGATGTGGACAGGAAAGGGAGAAGCCGACGGGTCCACGCCCCAATCACAGCGCCCAGAGATGGACACAGGAGGGACAACAGTGGGTTCCAGACGTGGGCCCCCATCCAGGCTCCCACGTGCTGGTTTGTCAAGGAGCGACACTGCTTGTCTTGGCTCCGCACAGCCTGGCTTAGGGAGCCTTCCACTTGGAGAAATGACTGCAGACAGACATGAGCAGTGAGGCAACGGGGCAGATCTCCCCCTCTGCCCTCAGAGCACACGTCCTCCCAGGAGAGGCCACGAGACGCAGGGAGCAAGGTCCACACTTACAAACACACCAAACTCCAGCATTCCAAGAGGACTCATCTATTTATTGATATTAAGCCACTTCCCAACAGTAACTGCCTAACAAGAATAGGACTCAGTTTCTAAAGGTAGTAAAATAACGATGACATCAGAGACAAAGCGTTGGGGACATTCCACGCAGGGCAAACCGGCTTTCTTCTCCCGCAGGAGCGAGCAGGTGCTAGGTGCCATCCCGAGCATGAACTCCTGGTCCCTTCCTTCGCCTTGGCCCTCGGAGCATCCCAGGCTGCGGTGTGGGGCCGGGCGGCTTCTCCACGTCCTCCCCACGTGGCACAGCCGTCCCGGGCTCCTCCAGTCCGACCACCGGCGCTTCTGGCCGGTGAGCCGTGGTCAGGTGACAAAACCACTAGCACCAAAAAGCTGGTTCTTCCTCTTCGCCAAGTAAACACGACACTTTTTTTTTTTTTTTTAAGGAAAGAAAAGTCTTAAAAATATATGGCACAGAGCATAGAACTATACGAGGGCACCCATGACAACTTCCCGTGGCTGCCAGCCCCAGGCCTGACCCCCGTCAGATGTAGAGCTGATGAGAGGCCAAGGTGTCCATGAACGGACGCACCAGGTTGTCCGTGGAGAAGTAGAAGATGAGCCCAAACGTGATGGAGATGGGGAGAGCGGGCAGCGCCTTCTTGAACACAGCAAGCAGCAGGAGGGTCAGACACAAACCCTGCGGGACACGGAGGGGTGCTCTCGAAGCTCTGTGCCGTGCCCGAGGGGGAGCGCTCACCCGTTTAACACCCTGCACGCTAATGCGGGAGCCTCCTGACTCCCAGAACAGCGCTGCTTTTCCAGACCACCGCCCCCACCTGGCAACGTGACCAGTGGCAGGCAGCCTCCCCTCGAGGGATGTGTATTTATAAAGAGCTGGACAAGCTCCACGGAAAGGCTCGTAAGGGTCTCAGCAGTTGGCGCCTCTGGAGAACCAAAGATGCCATGGGACCCATCCCCTTGGAAGTGGCTGCCTGTCCTGTCCTGCCCTGGCTGATGGGGGCAGTGGTCCAGGGAGGGGACAGGGGACCAGAGCAGCTGCCCTGTCCTTGGGTAGGGCAGGGCTCCATGTCAGACAGTCTGGAGGTGGAGGAGGCTGGGGGTCCGCTACTCCATCCCTGACATGCTGTGGGCAGGGACGAAATCCCCAGGAACACAAGTCTCAGCCTTCCGGCGCCCTGTGACACCCGGCTTTGCCAGGGCAAAGAGTGGAGCACCTGCCACTCCAAGCCTCCACCTCTCAGATACAATCCTCCTAGGACACTTCCCCATTGTGGGTATCTGGCCACACTGAGTCACTGCTGGGGTGCGAAGTGACAGGGCCCCCTCCCTGCCTCACAGATGTCATGAGACCGCACACAAGGTTGGCCAAGCCTCCACATGGCCACGTGCATGGTCCTTAACGCCAGAGCCCCTCAGCCATACCTGCCCTGCCCGGACCCTCCTGTAAGCCTGGTCTCATCTCGAGGGGCTTCCTGGCAGCCCTGTCCAGCCCCCACCACCCTGCCCCTCCAAGGGACAGCAGCATCTGAAACTCCCCTCGGATCCAGGTCCCCCCCCCACCACCGGGGAGACAGGGCAGGTGCACCCCTGGCCCACTCACAATGAGGATGGCCACGAAGCATGCCAGAGTGGTGTTCCAGTCCCCGCTGCCGGTGGCTGCCGCCTTGCCCACCAGCACGCTGTAGAAGATGAAGTCCCCCAGGCCGAGCTTCACGCCCCCTGTGCAGGGAAGAGAGCGAGCCCGTCGGTATCGGGAGCCCCGAGAGGAAGTGGTGGAGAAGGCGGACGCCAGCCCACACCCTGGGCCACTCCGCCTGCCCCAAGGGATGAAAGGGACCTGGGGCCAGAGTCCTGGGGCCCACAGGGGCTCAGATGGGGCAGGGTCACCGCCAGCCCACCTCACCTGGCCTCCAGGGCAAGGACTGGCTGCCTCGGAAAACCAGCAGCTAGTGGGAAGAGGGGGCCGTTGGGCTGGGCCACCTGCCATCTGGGCTGTGAAAAGCTGGCATTTCTGACAATTCAGGTAAAATTGGTGCTTGACACTTAGTTGAGTAAGAAAAGAGCAAACAAAATGTATTTTCAGGGGTCAGTGGGAGGCTGTACAATTTACTGCTAAGTTTAAGTTAGAAATATTTTCTAGGAAATTAGAGCTCCTCTGGCAACCCTTCCCCTTAAAAAGAGGTAAGTGTAATTGGTAATAAGCTTATGTCTTGCCAACAGTAAATGAGAACTCTAAAACTCTCAGGGTGCTTCTGTTTCCTTTAGACGGGATTGCCCGGATGGAGTCCTTGTTTACAGGTAACTGCTCACCGCAGCCGGTGCAAATGCTTGTCTAACAAAGTCGCACTGTCTGGCCCTCTGCGGCCTCCTCCTGCTCACGGGGGCTCCTTGGCTGGGGCTGGGCCCTGTGCCACCCTCCACCAGACCTCCGGAGGCTGGCTCCTGCCCCCAGCCTGCTTTCCTTCCTCAGCTGCTGTCTGTCTCCACCACGCTCTTCACTGTGGTCAGTCTCCCTCTCGCTCACACCCCCCCTCCGGCTTTCCTGCTCTCCCCTCTTCCCTATCCCTTCTTTCTCAGAAGAGCTCTGTGCTCCTGCCCTGTGCACTTGTGAGGCCCAGAAGCCCCAGGTCCCCCATCAGTCAGTGTGCAGGGGGGAGGCCAGCACACTGCCCGTGGACGCCCACAGCCTCAGGCTGCTCCCTGCTCAGTCCTCCATCCTCCTCAGGTCCTCCTCGGGCACTCTCCCTTCCGCCTCACTGTGCAGACCCAGGTTTGGCCCCTCTGTCTCTATTCCAACCTGAACCCTCCCCAGGCCCCCCCTTCAGGCCCAGGTTTTCACGTGTATGTGATGCTCTGACTCAAACCCTGGCCTCAAACAGAACGCGCTTCCCTTCCACGTGGCTGCTGAGTGTCCCCCTGCAGGTCCCAAGATGCTTCCAGCTGTCCGCCCCGCGTGCCCCATGTGCCCCTGGGTCACCCCCACACTCCCGCCGGCCCCTCCCACACCCTCGCCTCCCAGCCCGAGCCTGCGTGGCTCTTTCCTCGCTGGCGCCAGGGGCCTGGTCTCCCAGCAGAGTCAGCTCCTCCTGCAGCCAGGGTCCACCTCGAATGCTAGCTAACAAACCACTGAGGGCTCCCCGCTGCCTCCAGGGCAGAACCTCAGCTGCACCCTGAGTGCTGCACACCCCTCAAGGGCTGGCCCTCCTCAGTTGCTCCCCAAGGCTCCCTCCTCGAGCCTGTGCTGCTGGGTCACGAGGAATTTTTCTGACCTTAGTCCCTGGTTCCTGGGAGGGAGGCTACATCCCTGGAATTTCTCAAGTAACAGGAGTGTCTGTTATTCAGGAGACCCAGGATCCTAAACCCTTGAGTTCATGCAAGTGAGAGGATCAGGAGGGGCTGGTCCACCAGAAAGACCAACCTTGTGAGAAGGGGGCCGGGACTGGAGCCAGCTGGCCTCCGGGGGGACAGGCCAGGCCCTGATCAAGGATTCAGTCACATCTACATAACACAACCCCAGTAAGACTCTGGCCCCTGAAGCCTGACGAACGTATCCATGTGGGGGGTGGGGGGGGGGGGGTGTGTGTGTGTGTGTGTGTGTGTCTGTGTGTGTGTGTGTGTGTGTGTGTAACATGCCCTGATGCCTCCTGGAGAGAGCTCTCCACAGGGAGAGTTCAGGACCCTCCCACACCTGCCCTCTGCATCTCTTCACACAGCTGGTCCTTAGTTGTCTCCTCTATAAAAAAAAAAAAACAACAAAACCGGTAACTGTAAGTACAGTGCTTTCCTGAGCCCTGTGAGTCGTTCTAATGAATTACTGAAACTGAAGGGGTAGTGGGGCAGAATTGGGTAGTGACCCCCAGGGAGAGACAGGGAAGGGCCTGTGTGGAAGATGGTCTTGAAGACAGGCCCAAGGGCACATTTCCAAGGGGATAAAAATAGTCCTTCCACCGGGACACAGGTATGGCCAACCTACCGTGTGCCGGGTAGCACGTGGGACCCCGCGCTCCACAACCCATGGCGGCCCCGAGCATGGGGCAGTGCTGTTAGTGGCTGCCCAGCCCAGTCTGCCCCTGAGCCCCAAACCCATACCTTGTGCCCCCACGGCTACACTGGGACCTCCTACAGGCCATGCAAGTGCACGCTGAGATGGAATTCTCCAATAGCTGCAACCCTGCCCCCTCTGGGTCACGTCCTTCCTCCCACAAAACTCAAAACCCTCTGGTGGCTGTGCATGGTGCACAGACCAGAAGCCCCCACTTCGATCTGGGAGGCCCTCTGAGCCCCGACGAGCCTCCCAGTCCCATGTCTGCATCTCTGGTCTGGGTGTCCTGCCTGGGCTTCCTCTAACTCGCCCTGAACTGCTGGCCCCCTGGCCTCTGCACCCCCACCCCTGTGTCCCCTGCTCCTGGAGCTCAGCTCAGAAGTCCCCACCTCAGGTAACTTCCCCTGGGCCCCTGAGACCAGGTCAAGAAGCTGAGTCACTGTGCTCCAGCCCCCGTGTTCTCCCTCATGGTCCTCCCGGCCCAGTGTGGGCAATCAGGACCCATGCCCAGTACACCTGAGCCAGGCCTGGATTACTGCTCGCACCCAGCATGGTAGAGACACACCATCCTCACTCGCTCACATCTGGTAAGTATGTGGCTTAGCAGGAAGACTGCCTGTCATAGCCAATAAGACTCCACCTGCGCAGGCTCCTCCTGGACTTCTGTGCCCATCTCTGACATGAGGAGGGGCTTCTCCCCACACCCCACCCCCGACCTCAGGGAGCCCCAGCTCCACCCTCGCCCCACCCCTGGGCCCACGCAGACCCTCTGGGCATGGGTGCCTTACTTTCCTCCTCTTCCTCCAGCTCCCCCTCTGGGGAACCAGGCAGGGGGGGCTCAAAGACTTCTGGGTATGAGGGCTCCCCAAAACTGTCATAGGAGTCTTCTTCTGGGTGTCCGCGAAGAGAACGTGACCGTCCCAGTGTGAGGCAGGGGCGAGGGAGAGAGACAGAAGTCCGGTCAGGGGGAGCTCTGAGCTCAGGGCTCCCCGGCCCTCACCCACCAGCCAGCCCTGCCCTGATGCAGACAGAAAGGCTCTCCGCTACACATAACGAGGAAAGGTAAGGAGAGCTGAACGTCCCCCGCTCACTCAGTCCCCAGCATGCACCTCCCGGCCCTACGCCCCCCACAGAGGTCAGGCCGGGTGGACCTGGGTGCAGGTGCAGTCCCCTGACACTCACCCATCTCGGGGTCATAGGGCAGCTGAAGGGCTCCCTGGGAGGAGGGGTCCAGCTTGGCCATGCCCACCGTCCACACCATGGCAGCTGCGTAAGGAGAAAAGGTCCTGCGTCAGGTGCTGCTGAGTGAGGCCGCCCCCAGGGCCTGGGAGGCAGCATCCCCAGAAACCATCACCTCCACTGGGGACGTGCCTATGCCCCTTGTTTGGGGCTCCCTGGGGGAGGGGTCCAGAATCACCAGATGTGGGCAGACAATGCCTTTCCTGGGCTTTTTTTTTTACATCCACTCAGTTGTGAGACAGACCACAGAGCTGCTCGTCTTCCGGCCCTGAAACTACCCTCTGAACACCGCCTCCCCTCCACCATTCCAGTTCCTGACGCCTCTAGATGCTCCATAAAGGTGGATCCCACAGCATCTCCTCTTCATGACTGGCTTCATTCACTCAGCGTGTTGGCCTCCAGGCTCATCCACGTGGCACGTGTCAGAACGCCTCCCTTGTCAGGGCTGAATGATGCTCCACTGCGTGGGTTCACCACGTTTCGTTCACCCACCTGTCCACCAATGGGCATCGGCATGACCGTGCCCCTCGGCTACAGGGCATGACCCTGCTGCGAACATGGGTGTGCGGACATCTGCTCGAGACCCTGCATCCGATTCCCCTGGATGTCCATCCAGGGTGGGGTCACTGGGTCGGGAGCACTGACTGGGTTCTTTCTCTCTGGCTGGGAAACTCTCGCCTGAACTCCCACCACGCACGTCTCTCCAAGTCTCCATCTGGCCGCCCCGTGAGCACACCTCGCCTGGAACATTCCCCACGGCGGCCACGCAGCCCCGCCAGCCCCACCCTGTCCCTCTAAGTGGCACCTCCATCCCTGCTGCTGCTCAGACCCCACGATGCACTGACATCCTTGACTCTCTCCTAGCCCGCACCCCAAGCATCACAAATCCTGCCAATTCTGCCTCCAAAATATCTCCAGTCTCAAAGCCTCTACTGCTCCCCTGGGGCCAGAAGCCCCCCTCACCCCCAGCTCCTGGGTTGCTAGTCACCCCCAAACCCAGCTTCTCCTCCACTCTTGTCACCATGACTTTCGCTCTCCCCTCAGCAACTTGAGTGATCCTGCTAAAACATTCATGTCAGCTCGGTCCAAAGCCTTCCAGGGCATGAAGCTCACTGAGGAGTGAAAGCCTAGTGCTCACCATGGCCTGCAGGGCCCAGCGGTCCCTCCCCTGCCCCCTTCTCCCTTCTGCCCTCCCACTGGCTTTGGCTCCCCAGCGCCCCCAGACCTGCCCCCTCCTCCCTTATGCCCCCGGACAGCTTTGGCTTCCCAGCACACCAGGCCGCACCCACCTCAGGGTCTTCTGCCGGAACTCTGTCCCCAGGGCTTCCTAGGGCAGGTCTCCGGTCAAATGTCACCTTATGACAGAGGTTTCCTTGACCACCTGACACAAAACAGTACCCCCACTCCCCTAACGTCCTCAGCTCCCCTACCACTTCATCTTTTGACCAAGCACGTCTCCCTTCTGAGAACGTGTGCTCCCCCAGAGCACAGAGATGGTGAACGCAGGTATGAGCCCGGTCTCAGCCCCCCACACGTGGCTCTGCTCCTCAGAGCAGCCTTGAACCTGCTTTTAGGCTGTGGGCCACCTGCCAACAGCTCCCAATCCAAGTTCCACCTTGCCTTTGTAGACGCTATCCAGCACTTGGCAGCAGGTCTGCACCCTGCAGACAGCTGAGCCCCAGGTATTCAGGCTCACTCCTCAAATACGCCCATTGACAGATGGGAAGGCATTAGGACCACAGGGCTCTGAGCCCTGTGAGGCCAGGGGCCACGTGGGTCTTGTTTCTTGCGGCACCGCCAAAGCCCAGCACTGTGCTTGCTGCAAAGTGTGGAGCTGATGCTTGTCTGTCGAATGCATATATAAATCCAAATCCCTACACACTGGCCCCACAGCCAGCAGCAATCCCATGTGCCTTCCCTTCAGAGACTTAACTGCAACCAGCCACGGAGCCGTCGAGGAAGCCCAGCGAAAACCAGGTGGACCTGGTCCCCAGACCCCTGCCCTCGAGAGCCCCTCTGCAAAGCACCCTCTCAAGAGTGTGGAGGGTCGAGCAGGTGGGCAAGGGCAGTACCCACCACATGCCACTGGATGCTGGACGGGACACAGCTGTGGGGTGGACCACATTGCCTGCAGCCCCGGCTGGCCCTAACTCTCTAAGCATCTTCCGTGTGAAACCAAGATCCAGCCTGTTTTTGTCCCTGGCAGGTGGGCCGCCCTGGGATCACCAAGGCCACCCCCTCCCCTTGCATCAGTGAACTCTGAAAGCCACAGCCAGGAAGCAGCCCCTGGTTCCCACCTGGGGAAGAGACATAGAGGTCACTCACAGGAGTATATCAGGGCGGGAAATATGGGCTCGTTTCTCTCCTGGGCAGTCTCCACCAGCATCCTCAGTGGCCCTTTGGGGCACAGCACAGCCACAAGATCTGGGAAAGCAAAGACATCTGAGACATGTGGCAAGTGACATTTATTCCCAAATAGCCCCCAGAGAGGGGAGCCAGCCCGCGAACACTGGGGCAAATGTAGCCCAGAGCCCCCGAGCGAGGCTCAGAGTGGGTCCTGTATGCCTGCTCCCGACCCACCGGTTTCCAGCCCTGACACTGAGACTCCACATTAGCTGAAGCCCAGAACGGGGTCTAAATTCCTTGCAAACAAGGAATTGCCATGTGGCTCAGGGACCCCGATAGTGGGCTTGCTGTCCTGAGCCTCCCATTCCTTACCCTTAAAATGGAAGTGACAGGGCGAGAGAATCACACTAACACTAGTTAATTAACAGCTAATGTTCTGGGCGCTCGCTAATTCACAGGTCTCGTGCTCGATCCTATGGTTGCTCTGAGGAGCAAATCCTCCCAGTGTGTCAAGTGCTCACCAGTGTGAGCGCTCAACAGACGTGCTATCATTAGTGACCACGTCCACAGCCCCAAGCCCCACAGCCCCCGTGTCTTACGAAGGCGAGCCTCTCAAAGGAGAGACCATCCAGCATCCGTCAGGGAGGGGGAGCCCCTGTCAGCACCCACCACTCATGGGCACCAGTGAGGAGGACTCGACCCTGGACACTGCCCCCACTGCCCACCACCAGGCTCAAGTCCCGCCTGCGCCTGCCTACCGTACACAGAGATGGCGCCCAGAATGACCCACGCGGACCACTCTGGGAGGTACTTGATGAATACCAAGGCCATGAGCGCACTGATCATGATGAGGTAGGCCTGCTGCAGCACCAAGGGGCCTTTCCAATGGATGCACACCATGCCCACTGCCCCGAAGTTCCAGACGGTCAGGAACAGGGTGGGGTAGTCCATGGCCACGTTGTAGGTCTTGAGCACTTCCCTGCACGACCAGAGTCAAGCCGTGGGGTGGGAAACTCAGCGGAGAGGTTAGACCCTAATTAGACATAGTTCAACAGCCCCTGCTCCTCAACCACTAAGCCCCAAGCTGGGTTTTTCCGACCTCTGGCTTCATTACTAATACCCCCTTCCCTGGTTCTGTGACTCCTACAACGAACCACTGTAAATATTTTCTGGAACAAGGTGGTGAGTGTGCCAACATCTCATCCTGGGGTTGGTTCACATACACACGCGCTGGCACAACCTGGAAGACCCTTTGCCCAAGAAAAAGGTCCTTCTGTCTCTTCAGTCTCTCCGGGCCCCTGGGTCAGGCCGATGTTCCAAATAGACGGCAACAGAGCAGATCACTTTTCCCATAAATGAGCAAGTACCCCGGCCTGGCCCAAAGACTAGAATGTGAATTTTAAGGGTTTTACAGCTCTCTTGGGTTCACAGAGATCATCCTCTTGTGTTGACTATGCTCATTTAAATCAGGAACAAGAGAGGAATGCGCGGCCCGCCACAGAGCGCCCCTGCCCTGGGTCAAGGCCCGTGGGAGGAGGGATCGGAGGCCAGGCTCTTGGAGCGGTGACACTGGGGAGAATCTGGAGTCCAATGCGCGGGCGCCCTCCTCACCCAGAACTGGAGCCTCATGGGGGTTGGGGGGAGGGAGGGGCCCGAGGAGCCTGCCGCCCACAGGGGCACTTACCCGAGGTAGATATAGGTGAAGAGAAAGAGCAGCATCAGGGAGGACATGATCAACCAGCCGTGGATGAACTAGACAACAGAAACAGGCAGAATGAACACAGGCCTCCAGCTTCATGGGTCTGATGCCCAAGCCTTGAGAATCTTTGTTAGGCTCCTCCATGACTGTGTACTGAGTAGCCGTGTGACCAATAAGGACCAATAAAGAGGGCCAAGAAATTCACAGAGTTCTCTCAAGGTCACCTGGCAAGTGCATGGAGTGGGAATCCTTCAGGTCCAACCAGCCAGAGCCCTGCTTCCTCCCTGAGGGAGGATGTGCTGGAGACTCCCACCTGCCGGGCATGGCCCTAGGCTCCAGGGAGGAAGCCAGCGGGCGTCCCTGTGCACACAGTGCATGCCAGTGTGAGGACCGTAGCTAATAAATGTATATGCATATTGACAGGAAGTCACAGGGGCTATGAAGAAAAGAATGTCAGGAAAAAGTGACGGGAGACTCCCTGGGGTGCTATCTTAGAGTGGTCAGCGCCGTCTTTGAGGGAGCTCTCTCTGGTCACCCCAGGAACAGCCCTCCCACCTGAGAGTCTACGCAAAGGTCCTCAGAAAGACACGTGCCTCCTGTCCTGGCCAATGAGGGAGGTCAAGGATGATGGTGGGTTGGTCCTAAGCCAGTCCCTTAGCCAGCCATCAGTGGCACAGTGGGGTCACTGCCACCAGCCTCCCCCATCAGTCACCTGCTTGAGCCACCAGGTGCCTCAGTGGCAACCGGGTCTCCCTGGAATGAAGGCGGTGGCCCAGCTGCCTCTGGGACGTGCTGACCCTTCTTGCCCCAGCTGCCTCCACCCCCCAGGACCACCATCACCTCCCTCCTGAGTGTCAAAGAACCTGCAAGGATACCTCACCGACCTGCCTCCCACCAGTCCCAGGATGGGTTGCCTGACAGCTGCCGACCACGGCAGTGCCGGCTTTCCAGCCCCCGATTCCCTGACCGGCTTGTTTTCACAGGGCCCGTGGCCTCTGCTCCGACCATGCAGCCCCTACGCTGCTTCCCAGCCCCACTTAGAGCTGCCTTATTTCCTCAAGTCATCATTCACTGATCAGCCCTGGCATCCCGGCACTTGCGACAGCCCTCCTGTCATCCAGCCCTGCGCGTCGCCCCGGCTGGGATGGGCTCCTGTCCCTGGGCTGAGCCTCCTCTCTGCTCTCCACCTGCGCCGCAGAGTTGTGGCAGCTGGTGTGAGGATGGCTTCAAATCAGCCACCCCCAGTGTGTCTTTCTTTCAGGCCTCAGGGGTTCAGACCCTAAAACCCACGTCCGAAAGCTCACGGCCTGCCCGGAGAGAGAGAACGCCCCCGCTCGGGCCAGGTGGGCCTCCCCAGGAGCCTCTGCTCTCTGTGGCTCCCGGGGGCCTCACCACAGCTACAGGGCCCGCCAGTCCCCCAGGCCTTGGAGACCTCAGCACGGCACCTGCACAGCCAGCCGAGAGGGAAATAGGAAGGATGAGTAAACCTACAGGGGAAGTGTGGGGCAAAGAGACCCTGAAATAGAACATCTCGCTTCTTCGGAAGAAGCAGTGAAATAAAATAAACTCCTGAACGTGAGAAGGGGCGTGGAGAACGCTGCAGTGAGGGACAGGGGCAGGTGGGATTCTGTGCAAGGTCCAAGGACGGTGGCAGCGGGCAACCTCCCGACAGGAGTCGGGGGTGGGGGGGGGGGGGACAGCGTCTAACAGCAGCGTCTGCTCTGTCTGGGGCAAGAACCCTGGGAGGCATGCGGCAGCAGGGGCCCGGGCGGCCAGGATGGGGCTGGGGGTGAGGGGCTGGCCCTCACCTTGTAGCAGCGGTACTTATAGAGGACGACCAGGAAGATGGTCATGGCCACGATGACGCTGATCATGATGAGGGTGTTGAGCACAGAGTTGAGCAGGCGCTGGCCCACGGAGGGCGTGTCCTCAGTGAATGGTGTGTAGATGCTGAGGGAGATGGCGGGCTGCAGACTCTGCTCCCTGCCTGCTCCATAGGGCCTGCCCATGAGCCACCCAGCCTTAGCCTGATGCCTGAGCCCCGAGTGGAAAAGGAAGGGGCCCCCCCAGGCCTCCCCCTCCCCAAGGTGTTCGCCTGCCCTCCCTCAGGCCTCCCCCCACACCACACCTTCCCCACCCCCCACAAGGCCTCCCCAAAATGTTCTCCCCACACTCCCACCAGACCTCCCCCTCCCTAAAGTGCTCTCCTGCCCTCCCCCCTTCTCCAGGCCAGGGTGCCCAGCAAACCCCCACACCCAGCCCAGGACTCGCCCACCGCCTCCCCTACCCCACCCAGCACAGGCCAGCAGCAGTGGCACCCACAGCCAATACACGCAAGAAGCCATCCCTTGGCCCCCGCCCTGTCCACCCTGTCTGCCCGGGACTGTGGAAGCCTGCTGCCCGCTGAGTACCTTCCCTCAACACGGCATGCTGGGCCCCCTCCCACCTGCTCTGCAGCCCCAGTGCACCACAAGCCTGCCCCTTTCTTTGGAAAAACCAAACCAAAGTGAAAGGGATGCCCCCTAACTAAAAACACTAAAAACAAAGTTCAGAGAAGGCAGTCAGAGGCGGACGAATGCCCCAGAGCAGCAAGCGAGGGAGCAGAGGTGGCTTCCCACTTGTCCTTCCACTAAAGTGATCCAAGCCTCCCTCACTGGGCTGGAAGCCAGCTAAGAAATCTCCGGGCCCCACGCGGGTTTCCGTCCACAGGAGCAGAGGCCCAGAGAGAAAACCACCTGTTCAGTCGCGTGGTGTGGCACACCCGCCCCCGGGACCCCACACTGGGGACACCCTGCCCAGGCCGCGCAGCCAGAGCCTGCCCTCCGCCCTGAGACCCCGTGTGCCTTAGCGCCGCACGGCAGCAGGCACTGTTCGATGTGCCTCATTCTCCTGGTGTTGGACCCATTATACAAACAAGGAAACTGAGGCAGAGAGCGGTTAGGAAAGGGCCCGTGCAGGTCATGCAGCGGGGAGGCAGTGGACAGAGCAGAGTATGGAGTCAGGCAGCTCTCAGCCCAGCTCTGCACAGGCCCCCGGCGTGAAGCTGAGGGTGCAGAGGACACCCCCCGACCCCGCCCTGCTCCCCAACTTACAGCTGGCCGTTCTTCTCCGTGTAGAAGCGCACGGACTTGATGGTGGCCACCACCACAATCATGCACAGCGTGACAGGCACAAACAGCATGATCACATGCTTTGCCCCGTATTTGAGGGTCAGCTCCTCCTCCAGGCCCAACGGCTGCCCAGGGACCCCACTGCACACGTAGCGGTCCGCGTCGTCGAGGTCCTCCTCACTATCCTGGCTTCTCTGTGGAAAACCGCTCCGTGAGGGCCACAGCACGTCCCCACGGTGGGCCCTGAGACGCAGTGCATGGGTGTTTTGGAACTGGAAATGAGCAGTTTGAGTGTTGCTTTCCAGATGGAAGAACCAGCCTAGGGGGCAGTGCTCTAGATGCAGGAGTGCTGGGATAGCAGGGCATTGGAAACATTTACGAGATCAACCAGGGAAGCTTTATAGCTGGCACTCACCACTGCAAATGCAGGAAGGGGCCACGGCAGCCGCAGGAGAGGGCATCCTGCAGGCCCAGGACGTGTGGCTCATGAACCCAAAGCGCGTCTAGGGATCTCCCCCCCTCCTTCCATTCAGGGACTCAGAAGCCATTCAGTTCTGCTCAAGGAGCCATACAGATTTGGGAGGAGACCAGCCAGGTGACAGAGGAGGAAGACCGATTACACACACACTAGAAGAGTCATCGCCCGTGAGGACTCTCTGTAAGACACTGGGAATTTGCAGAGGAAGAAATTACTTGGAACTCCCCTGACACGCACAAAATAGGGCATGCAGAACTGGGAGCCATGAACCAGACCCCAACGGGCTAACTGACGCCAAACCCCTGGGGGACAGTTCCGTGCTCCAGGAGCGTGGGAGGGCAGGACACCCGCACACGCTGCCCTAAACCCATCCACAAGAATTTCTGTTCGGGAACTGTGCCAACTCAGGGTCACTCGCTGCCTTATTACATTAACCGCCAAAGACAAAGCCAAGCGAAACACAAATTCAAAAGGACTGTTGCTTCAATATCAGTTCTTTGCAGAGAGAATTCCAAGCTAGACACTCAGCTAAGATAAGGAAAAGTGCAAAGGAGGGGTTAGGAGTGGCACGGTGGCCTTGAGCTGGAGAGACCGGAGACCAGCTCGCTGGGAGCTCAGAGGATGGAAGAAATGAGCTAATTTCAGCAATGGGGACTAAGGCTGGCTGGTAGGAAAAATTCCACACGAAAGATTTTAAATACTATAGTGGGCAAAACGGAGCTGGAGTTTCAGGCAAATCCAGATGCTATTTTGCCCTGACGGGGAGGGAGGTGGTGAGGCTAGGTGACTCTCCCCCAGGGCACCCTGACTTCTTGATGTTACAACCTCCTGCCCCGCAGAGATAAGATCGGAATGTCTGTGTCCCCCCAAAATTCACACGTTGGACCCCAACCCCCAATGTGATGGAATCTGGAGGTGGGGCCTTTGGGAGGGGACCAGGTCGTGAGGGTGGAGCCCTCCTGACAGGATGAGTGCCCTTATAAATGGGCCCCAGACACCTGCACCCCGATGTTTCTAGCAGCAATGTCCACCACAGCCAAACTATGGACAGAGCCCAGATGCCCACCAACAGACGCATGGATGAAGAAGAGGTGGTATAAATACACAATGGAATATTACTCAGCCATCAAAAAGAATGAAATCTTGCCCTGTGCAACGACGTGGATGGAACGAGAGGGTATTATGCTAAGCTAAATAAGTCAGTCAGAAAAAGACAATTATCATATGATCTCACTCATGTGGAATTCAAGAAACAGAACAGAGGAAGACAGGGGAAGAGAAGGAGGGAAAAATGAAACAAGACGAAATCAGAGAGGGGGGCAAACCGTAAGAGACTCTTACTCATAGGAAACAAACTGAGGGCTGCTGGAGGGGAGGGGGTGGGGCGATGGGGTGGCGGGGGGATGGGCATTAAGGAGGGCACGGGATGTAATGAGCTCTGCGTATCACATAAGAGTGATGAATCACTGACCTCTACCTCTGAAACTAAACTGAACTAAACTAAACTAAACTAAACTAAACTAAACTAAACGGGCCCCAGAGAACTCCCTGGCCCTCTTCGCCATGTGAAGACCCAAGCAGAAGACCCAGAAGAACCAGACGCCAGATTTGTCGGCACCTTGCGCTCCCACTTCCCAGCCTCCAGAACAGTGAGAAATACACTTCTGTTGTTTACAAGTGGCAGCCAGCTCAACAGTCACACACGACTGAGGTAGATGCTCATCCCACGGCCCCCAGGTCTGGTCGTCGACCCTCCACGGTGCTCCCCCTGCCACCCCGGGCCTGTGCTACCCTCCCAGCATGCAAACTTGCTCCCACACTCCGTGGCGCAGCACCTGTGCCAGGAAGGAGAGCCCACGTGGGCAGGGGCTGGGGGCAGAACCATCCGGTCCGTGGCAGACTGCAGACGTCTGTCTGTCTACTCCAGAGCCCTCACTGACCGAGCCCCACCACCCACCCTGGGGGACCCACCCTGGCGACCGATTCTCATCTTTACTTTCCCCTCCCTCCCACATCAGGGCACGTCTGGGTTCCATCCATGAGGGCCAGGAGCCCGGGGCCTCTGACCACTGGCGGGAACCTACCCACTGGGCAGCATTCTCTCCGTCCTCCAGGCCCTGCCGGGCCTCCTGGCAGCAGCGTGGTGGCGGGCTCTCAGCCGACATCAGGGACGTCCTCTCGTCACACACTTCTTCCTCACTGTCAGAGGCCATGAACGTGAGCATGGCCCTGCCTTGGGGAGTGCCTGGAAAAAGGAGCACAGGGGACCTTGGTCCCTCTTCCTGCAAGGCAAAGGCAGCAGAGGACCGAGGCGGTGGCCAGAGGTGGCCCGAAGACCTGGACACAGGTCCTGCCTGACAACCACCCAGGACGCTTGGGTCAAGTGGCTGCTGGAAGGCAAGACTTCCCAGGAGTTGCCTCTACAGCTGTGCAGCCTCCGGAAGGGACGGCAGGGATCTGCGCCACGGGCCAAAGACCCGACTAGAAAAGTCACGGCCACTCCAAACTGTCAGCGCTCTCATTCATTCAATCAACAAATATCTGCTGAGCACCTGTGGTGGGACAACAAGGAGGATGAGCGAGAAATGTCTGTCCTTAAAAAAAAGAGAGAGAGAGAGAGAGAGAGAGAAGACACCTGGGGGGCTCAGTCGGTTAAACGCCTGCCTTCGGCTCAGGTCACGATCCCAGGGTCCTGGGATCGAGTTCCCTGTCGGGCTCCCTGCTCAGCGCGGAGCCTGCTTCTCCCTCTCCACCCTGCTCATGCTCACTCGTTCTCTCTCACAAATACATAAAATCTTCCAAAAAAAAAAAAACAAAAAACCAAAAACCCAACAACCATCCCATGTGACCAATTATATGATCTAAGCGTTCACCAAGAGGTACAGAAGCATGAAGAAGGGTCACTCTTAGAGATCAAGAATGTTTTCTAGAGAAGATACCACCCCTGGTGGAGACAGAATTTTCCAGGTGCGAGGAAAGGGCAGAGGGCACGAAGAACAGACACTCCGGGCGGGGCCTGGTGCTGCCAAGGCGGGGCTGTGGAGGTGTGAGGGCCTCCTGAGCCGTGTTAGGGGACCTCCCTGAAGACAACTGTGGGAGGGGGCAGGCTCTGACTCAGGGGCAGCAGGTTGGACGCCAGCAGGGGGGCACTGGGAGGACACCTGTCAGCGCTGGATGTGGGGATGAAACAGGACAGAATCCAGGGTGACAGCCAGGCACAGAGCCATGAGCAGGGGACAAGCATCTCAGGGGAAAGATGGAGTCTGGTCCAGGAACCTGTTGAGTGGGAAGGGGTTAGATGAGTTAAAAAGGGTCAAGGAGTCTGGGGTGCAGGGCAGCAGCGAGAACATGAGAGGTGGGGTATGTGTGTGTCTGGTGGGAAAGTTCAGCTGAGGGCAGGACCCACTGTGAAGGCCAGGCTGGAGGGTCTACACTGCAGGGAGGGCTGCCACTAGCTCCACTGCGCTGACCCGAGCACAGTGTCCTTACCACAGCAGCACAAGGAAGCCAGGGCAGTGGAAGGGCCTAGAAGAGCTTCAGACAACCCCTGGAGGACCTGGCTGTCCCTGCCTGCTTCCCGGGCAGGCCTGCTCTCCCACCAACACCTCCCAGAGGCCCTCAGGGCTGAGCCACAGGGCACTGGGGACAGAGGGCCAGGCCTGGCCTTGGTTGAATGCGTGCCTCCATGTCAGCTCCCCCACCCCCCAGGAACACGCGAGTTCCGAATGAAGCAGGCAGGTTCCTTCTACCGTCACCCAGCTCTGCGCAGCCTGGCAGGGCCCGCGACTTGGGCTGTGGCCAGGATTATTCCCTAGTGGACCTCACCTCCATCCCCCAATTGCAGGCCAAAGGCAGAGCCCGCATCTGCTTACCTCACGGACTAGGACCCATGACAAAAGGCTCCCGGTCAGTCTCACGGGGGCCTCAAAAACAACCAGCTCTGGGGCGCCTGGGTGGCTCAGTTGGTTAAGCGCCTGCCTTCGGCTCAGGTCATGATCCTGGGTCATGGTCCTGGGATCGAGTCCCGCGTCAGGCTCTTTGCTTAGCACGGAGTCTGCTGCTCCCTCTCCTTCTGCCCCTCCCCCCGCTCATGTTTTCTGTCTCTCTCTCTCAAATAAATAAATAAAACCTTCATTAAAAAATAATGAACCCGCTCCCCGATGCAGGGCAGACCCACCAGAGCAGGAGTTGAAGGAGAAATACCAGGTGACGTCACTCACAGGCAGAATTCAAGAAACAAAACAATCGAACCCACAAAGAAAGAAGCCCCTAAACAGAGACCCACAGGGTGGTTTCCAGAGCGGGGAGAGGGACCAACAGGTGGAGGTGAAGAAGGGACACTTCTCGTGATGCAGGCTGAGAAATGTATGGAGCCGCCAAACCACTAGATTGCACACCTGAGACTAATACCACAGAGTACGTTAATTATACTCCAGTAATAAAACAGAAAGCCAAGAGCAGGAGGACCAACAGAGGAAGGCAGAAGACAAGTGCCAGAACAGGGATGAGGCCTGAGCTCCTGCGGTTAAGGTCAAGAGGAGGAGGAGTCCGTCAGCTGTCGGGTCGGGAGGTGGGGGAGGGGGGGGTCTCAGGTCTCAAGGATTCAGAGGCACAAAGGCCAGGAACAGCTTCCCAGGCAGAGACTGGAGGAGACAGGGCATCCTGGCAGACAGACATGTGGGATGGCGGACCTCAAGGGGCCTGTTCCGACAACACCAAGCGCTGCGGCTGAAGTGTGGGGACCCAGCGGGTAGCAGGAAGGCTGGTCAGAAAAGGCAGGACCCCCCTCCGGGGAGGAGCAAGGGCTGAGTCCCGCAGGGAGGGGCCGGCCAAGGCTTCAAGACAGAAGAGGGGTGTGAACAGAACGAGAGGAGGGGTCTCCTCCCTCTTCACTGCAAGTCCCCCAGCACCAGTGTCAGCTCAAGGCCACGGGAGGGCAGCCGGACCTGGGACCCGACACACTGAACCCGACGGAGCCCAGTCTGAGGGGAACTGAAATTATGGGGAGGCTCTCTCAGTACCTTGTTTTCTAGCACGTCAGTTCTGTTTCGGGTAGGAATTAATAGTGTAGTTACAACCCCTCTTCTCTCCCTCTCAGGCCCCTGGGGTGCCTGCATTTGATCTCTGCAGGGACTGGAGGAACAGATCCAGATCCCTGGATGGAAAGCCTCATGGCTGCAACCTCCCCCACCAAAGGCAGGGGACGGCCTCAGCCTTCAGAAGCATGCCACCTGCAGCCTTCGGGCCTGCCTCGTCCCCTGGGCTCCCAATGACAAACAAGAGGGGAAGGGACAAACAGGGAGCACAGATGCTTGAAAGGAGAAGGGGAGCCGTGGGGGACAGTGGGGGCACAGAGGAGGGGACCAGCCCTTCCAATTTCCATTTCTTCAGCCAGTTGCCAGCAGCTAACAAGACAGTCCCCAGAGGCCACTTCTGCCTCCCAGCGTTTCCCTGGTGTCCCTGAAGGACGCCCAGCAGGGTGAGCTTGAAGAAGGACTGTCAGAGCTAATTCGGGCATGGCTTCCTGGCCAGAAAACAAAGGCTCCCTGGGCAGATTCCTCCCGAAGCCTGCCCTGACGCCGGGCCCAAGACTCCTAGGACCCAGGACAGCAGGCCCCCGAGGGAGTTGTGGCTGTGAGAACAAGGGCCCTATCCAATCCCAACCCTCTGGGCCTGCCCGCTGGGCAGGTACAGGTGAGCAGCCTTCAGACCCCCGAACACCTGACAGGGGACTGAGCACTCAGAAAAGTCTGGGTCCCTTAACACGCCGTTTCTCAAAGGGTCCAGGCCACCTGGGACAGGGCTGGGGGGACACCACCTGCTGAGCCCCGACCACGCACTACACGCAGTGACGTGGGAGCGGGGCACTGCTGTTCCTGCCCATTTTTCAGATGAGGAGACAGGTCTGAAGCGTGATACGTTCAAAGTCAGCCTTGAACCCAGGTAGTCAGGGTCTGCAGTCTGAATACTGTGCTAGACCACTTAGCGAGTGTGGATCCCCAGCTTCATTCTGACGAAAGGTCCAGGGCTCTGCACCTTGAGATGGCCCCTGGCTGAGAGTCTCTCCTGGGGCCGCCCAGCTCTGGAACACAAGCCCAGCCAGCCCCCAGGCCCCCAGCTGAGGACTGCAGGAGTCCTGTTACAATCCACCTCCCGGCCCCCTGGTGCTGCTCAGCACTACCTGGCTCGCTGGATCTGGGAGTGAAAGAAGGACCAATTCTTCTCCTGAAACCCCGTCTAGTCAGAGAGCCACTGAGGCAGCAGAGGAGGAGCAGCTCTTCCCACCAGGAAAGCTACAGGGGGAGAAGGCGGTTCCCAGGCCCAGCGAGTCCCCAAGCAATACCCACCACTGACGGGAATGTGGAAAAACTAGGTCTCACACCCCTCTGGCGCCACCAACTGCAGGCGGTAAACAGGGAAAGCTTTAAAAATATTCATACCTTTTGATCCTGAAATGCTACTTCTCGGAATCTGCCCTAAGAAAATAATAGAAGATTTTCATAAAAACACATTTGCTGTGGTTGCTTACAATGGTCCAAAAAGTGAAAATTACGGAAATGGCCAACTCTGGCCTAGGACAAGGGTCGTCCAATGTTAAATGTAATGGATCCAAACCTTCACATTCACGACCATTTGAACATTCTTAGAAAACGTTCGTATATGAAGGGCTGGCAAGATAGATCACAAAACACCAAACGCAGTTAACCTCTGGACGTCGAGACTGTGGGTGATTTTTCACATTTTTCTGCATTTCCCAAACCCTCTATTATAAACAGGGATTGTGCCGGTAGTTTTATTTTTTTAGCCATTCATTTTTTTTTTTCTCAAGTAGGCTCCATGCCCAGCATGGAGCCCCACGCTGGGCTTGAACTCACAATCCTGAGATTAAGACCTAAGCTGAGATCAAGAGTTGGACACTTGATGGACTAAGCCACCCAGGTGCCCCAAGCCATTAATTTTTTAAAGGGACATATGGAATATCAACATTGAAACAGACTTCCTTCCCATCCTGCCGCTCCTGCGTGCCCTCAGGGGGACAGGTGGACATGCAGCCGCTCTTTTTACCTGGCTCTGGAGAACACAGCACGCCTCTTGCTTCCAAGTCAGAACTGAAGCCTGACAGCACTTTGAAATCTCTGGAGGGGAAAATCATCACCCAAATGCATGCAGATCAACAATCTTACTCGATATTTGTCCACATCAGGGCGCCAGTGACGTCAGGAACGCCCTCGGGAGACGGACTGG